CCGCCACGGATTCATCGTAAATTCCGATTCGGACCGGACCTCGGCTCGATCGGGAGATTTTAACTGAATTTCTAGATCTAACATTAGTACCACTTCGGAAAGCGTTGACGTTGGTAAAAGAAGTGGCGGAAGAAACTCCAGCAACGCTTCTATCATTAACTGGGGAGAACCGGCAAGGTACGTGGCGGAAGCTAGTATATGTTTGCCGCACTCGCCGGCGAGTGCGGTGTGTTCTTGTGTGTTTCCGAAACTTTTTTATCCTTTCGATGACAATAGTGGTCTCATCGTCAGGGAAGTCGAGAAAGTGTCGCGGTCTACGGTAACTGCGGCAGAACGTACCTAGCTGTAGGAGCTCGTAAGTGACGGCACCTACGATTGGTAATTAATTGTCAAATATACATATATAAAATTGAAGAAAAACTTCTTTAGGCGCGACTAGGGAGTAAATTAGATTTTTTCTGACGGAAGTAACGCTTTTTCTGACGGAAGTAACGTCATAAGTATATGTCATATTTTAAAATATGACGTTATTAAATATTTAATCATTTCAGTGATAAATGCCGTCAACGCCAAAGAAGTTTTACTTCAATCGCGCGTAAAGGTTACACGTACACACTTTTTTTTTAACAAAGACCATAATTAATGTTTTCTAATTCTACTCTCTAATTTTTTTTTGCACCAAAATCTGTTTGGAGCCGTGGTAGCTGTGTCCGAGCGCTCGCCTTTAATTCAATATACTCGAGCAACCTGAGTTCGATTCCCGGTACCGGCAGTACCAATGAAATTGTTAATTTTAAGTGCTGCTCACGTGCTCAGCAGTGAAGGAAAAAAAGAAAACATCCCCGCATGTTTTCGAAATAATGTAAAAAAAGGTCTTTCGAAGACACGTGAAGTCCGCCAAACCGCAGTAGGACCGAGTGGTGGACTATGATGGCCTAACGTACAAAGGTGGCCTTTGCCCTGCCGTGGAACATGTATAGACTGATACTTTACTTTTTAATTGCTATTTCTATTTATCAATAGATGGTATTATTTTGTATTGGTAATTTTATTCAACGATAGGTGGCAATGTCAGCAATTAACAGCTATTCGCCGATAGGTAGCGTTGTTTAGACAAAATGTCTGTAAGTTACCACTAGATGGCAGCACAGTATAAAGTAGTACTATTTCTTTTCATCAATAGATTGTGCTATTCTATTGTGATTATTCTATTCAACGATAGATGGTGCTTTTTGTAACTTACAGCTATTCGCCAATAGGTAGCGTTGTTTGGACAAAAATGTCTGTAAGATGCCGCTAGATGGCAGCACATTAAGAATTCCTGCTACTTACTATTACTTTTCTCCGATAGATGGTGCTATTTTGTATTATTTATTCTATTCAACAATAGATGGTACTTTTTGCAATTATGTTTGGCCAAATGTCTGTAAGGTGCCGCTAGATGGCAGCATTATATAAAATTTAATTAATTCTCATTTATTTTACATTTTTGTGTCATTTAGGGGAGAAAATGATATCATTGACTTTTCGATAATTTAACTCGACACAGTATTCGGTCGTAAAGTATCAGTACTTAATCTTAAAATGAAAACTTAGGTCACAGAAATAAAGAGCTTTATACAAAACTAGCGGCCCGCCCCGGCTTTGCACGGGTATTTAACAAAATTTTTAAAACAAAAAATTATCATACACACACACATAAAACCTTCCGAATATTTCGTCTTTAGGGAATAATTTTATGAATTTCTTCATCTTTTAATGAAATACCCTTGAAATTACGTCACGTAAAAGTGACAAATAAGTCTGGTCTCTCACAGCTTCGGACATAATTCATCGCATCTTTGGTTTTTTTGTTGACCGATGTCTGATGATCCGATGTTTGGTGAGCCAATGTCTTCATTTAAAGCGTCTTTAAGATGAATGTTTCACCAGCCCTCCGTCTCTGGTGATTACATCATAAGTAATTCAATCTATATGATATCTTTTTGCCATCATATTGACAATGTATTGAATAAAAACCGGCCAAGTGCGAGTCAGACTCGCACACGAAGGGTTCCGTACCGACCTCACAGGAGACCGGCGTAAAATAGAAGTGTTATACTTCTACGATTCGTCTGGTGAGAGAGGTAGCCGGGGCCCACTTTATATAAGATGGCAACTCATTTGCAACCCTACAGGTGTTACAAATGTCTATAGGTGGCGGTTATTACTCAACATCAGGTGAACCGCCAGCTCGTTTGCCACTCTATCACCATTAAAAAAAATCATGTTTTATTATCTTTATTCAATATAGAAGTATTAAAAAACATTACTTCTGTCAAAAACATTACTACTGTCAACATTATCTATAAAAACGGCAAAAAAATCATGTCTGTTTTATGGGAGCCCCACTTATTCATATTTTTTTGTTTTTTAGTATTTGTTGTTATAGCGGCAACAGAAATACATCGTTTATGAAAATTTCAACTGTCTAACTATCACGATTCATGAGATACAGCCTGATGATATATGGACAGACATACGTACATATAGACGGACAGCGGACTCTTAGTAATAGGGTGCCGTTTTACCCTTTGTGTACGGAACCCTAATAAGTCCCAGAAATAGTCAAATATTAACCGTCTTCTCCTATTACGACTATTAAGGGATATTTTTATGGATCATACAATCGGTGTAACTCAGAGACCCTTTTAAGTTGGTCGTGCCTACCGTGCAACACTATATCTCTGGAGCCTTTTTAGGATGCCGTACCCAGAGGGTAAAACGGGACCCTATTACTAAGACTCCGCTGTCTGTTTGTCCCTTTGTCAACAGGCTGTATCTCATGAACCATGATAGTTACACAGTTGAAATTTGATCTGGGTATTTGTTTCCCAAGGAGGGTTGACGTCAAGCAGGTGGCTGGTTGTAAAAATATAGCCAAAACCGCTTACAACATGATTCACGTTGTGCTGACCCCACCTAAATGGGATAGGGGCAGGAGGATAATGATAATTTGTATACTTGTCCCTCTATTTTAAAAGATCGCGTCAAACGAAGTCATTTAAAAGAGGCTATTGTACTTTCGGATGTTGGTTAAAAATGTGATGGTGAATGATTATTTGTACAAAGATTTTTTATTGGTTGTGGCGGCTCCTCAATATTGGGCAGACTACCTTTTCTAGAAGCACAGCACATACCATTTGGTTCATCGACCCATTTTTTGGCAGAACACTTAGAGCAGATCTTAGTCGTGGCTACGATTTGGACGGAAGATTGTTGAGCAAAATGCATGAAAGCTGATCTGTTGCTGTGAGCTAAAACTCGAATACGAACTCTACTTGTTGACGTTTGTTATCTTCCTCTCTAATCTCGTGTACGTTGGGAACGCTCAGACCTCGATTCCCTAGTGTGAATTTGTATATTTACATTATTATACTTTTCAAGCTACTGCAAACACTCTACTTGACTCTCTCCGACTTGTAAGACGATTTACAGTTTCCGGTAAAGATTCCAAATTATGACTTATTTTTAATGTCCTCGCCTGGGAACTATTTCTAGAAAGATGAGGTCTTGATCTTTTGGGCATTTTCAAATGATAAAAAAATTAAACTTCCTTAGTATTTAATAATTTGCTAACTGTTGAACAGGAATTACCAGTATAAATGTGATTGAAAAATTATAAAAACTACTAAGTCTGTCACTAAGCTGGATAGTTAAATTACAATATACTAACATTTTTAAACTTGCAATATCTAAGGAATGGAATGTCCGAATTTAATAATTCAAAAAGTTTTATAAAGATATTGAAACAGTCTTAAATATGAAGTAATTTATTTTTATAAGGATTAATACCAAGATACAAATAAACAGCCTTTGTTATCGGCGGCATTTCAATCAAAATTTTAAAATAAAAGAACACTTATTGTGGCATAACTATAATAGTTAGACATATGCTGTCGCGACACTTTTTGTAAATAATGATGTGGTCTGCAAAGTCGTAGTACATTATTTTATTCTATCATCAATAGCCGAGGTTCAGGCTAGGCGCCTCGTGGCCCCTAGTGGCCAACAGTGTCTCATCCAGCCCAAAAAAAAAAAATCATCAATAGTTTTCGCAACGCACGCGAAGTAAAGAATATTCTAGGTAATTTTTGTACACCTTGAGTAACATTATTGGAGTTTTAGTAAGGATCCCTATTTTTTTTAAATGTAATATAGCCCATGTCAAGCAGGGATAATGTAGCTTCTCAACAGTGAAAGAATTTTTCAAATCGGTTTATTAGTTTCGGAGCCTATTCAATACATACAAACAATCAAATCTTTCCTCTTTATATAATAGTACAGAGTACAAGATACAGATTAAGTTTTTGTAACACTTCAAAAATAGTAATATTTAAATATTAATATTATATAATGTAATTAATATTATATATATATACATATATATAATATTTAAATATTTGCCTTGTACACTATTTTTAGATGCCATGACTAATGCGTCTGTTTCGGTAAACAGCTCTCCGCAGTGTGGAGGCTCTTTTAAAACTATTTGCACTTGTGGATTCTGAAAAAAGGTTATAAAATCGTCCCATTTCTCAAAAATCTCCATATTCTATTCACAAAAAAAAAAAATTATCAGCGTAAATGGATACGAGATATGATATATAACAGTTGGTTAACCTTTTTTAAATAGAAGTGTCCTGACGATTTACATTTATATAACCGATTCACGTACTATTGACTCCTCGTGGGGTCAATACAACTACATTTCACAGATACTTACTCGATACTTAGTTACAAAGTAAGATACAAAAAGTACTTTGTATGTACTAATACCCTCTGTACTGAGGTCTTTACCCAAAAATGGGACATATATAAGCTATTACCTTATTAAAATTAATGCTTTCATCATACAAAATAAAACTACCTTATTCTTAAACAATAGACAATGTATATTCTTATGATTAAACTTACAATAATTTAGACATAACAAATAAAAAATTGGTCATTTGCATCTAGAAAGCTAGTTTCTTCATTAGCAGGTACATGTGTTGATCGACTTCGAAACCATGGAGGTTATTAGCATCACCCTGTAACCTCATCAGTAGACCACCAAAAGACACATAAGCTGCCAATCTAGACGCAGGTTCCATTGCTGCCTCATCACCCTCTATCCTATGAACAGAAAATATCCTCTAAATATGCTTTTGTAACAAAATAACAAACAATTTCATCACAACCTAAATGAATATGTATACAGCGTGTCTTTACAATCGCGACAATAAACGAACACACATATAGAGGATAACTTTTTAAAATTGTATTAAACATTTACATTCTTTAAACATCAATATTTACAGAGCTATTAAATTTTCCAAAACATAGAATTTTTGGACACCCTTACGTATAAAACTGTAACGTAAAGTTCATTTGTAAAGGTCACAAAGCATATGAATGGGTTGAATGAATTTAAAGCGACAAAACATACTGTTAGGTGGTAACGACACACTGTACAGAAAATGTAAACCTCCTTGACAAGGTTGATGATTAGCGTGGAGGATGACCGTAAAGGTTGAATTGGGTGATTTGCTGCTCTTACCACCAGAGGGATTGGTTTTCGGCCCCTCTTAAGATTTTTTCTTTTGGTTTACATTTTTTACAGTTGGGATTAGTACAATCACTGTACAGCATAGCTTGCTCCAGTTGCTATTTGATTGAAATTATATTAATTGTTTACAACATGGGTGTGTATACATTCATTTTTTCATTTACAATAGTTTTTATTTGATCGAGAAATATAACCTTTAAACAAGGCCTGTCATAAATTAGGATAAATTAGGTTACATATGTATTTATCTCAAACTGATTGGTTAGGTTCCTTATGTGTACATTTTTATACATCAGGTAGATCCACAAAAAGGGTGACATCACCACAGCCTAAGTAGAAATGTGTTTGTGATTGTGATTTATTGGTTTTTAATTAAACTGTACCCCTGTGTTCTCATTAAGTAAAAATGTGAATTTCCTCTTAAAATTAACAACAATAATGAATGGTTTTTGAATTGGTTTCACCAACATAAATTTGGACTTTCTTAGTGTTATATTGCGAGACTTAACCAATGATAGTATATCCAATAGATCTGACACTAGCACAAGTAAGGCTCTCAAATTACACCAATCAGTGCAATTTAAATTTAGTTGTGTAATGCCAGCGCGCGATTGAACCCACTTATCACTGTATGCCTTAATTACTAAAATATAATTTAAAATGCAAAACTGTGTATTTTATAAAAATTGGATCAGTCGTTTCGGAGTTTATTGCTAACATACATTGTGACACGAAATTTTTATATATATAGATTATGGCCTATGTGTTATTCTGATGTATAAGCTATATTATTGTAAAGTTTCATTAAATTCCATGCAGTAGTATTTGCATGAAAGAGTAACGAACATCCATCCATACATACAATCTTTTGTGTTTATAATATTAGTAAGGATATCCAGTGTTCCTAGTGAAGACAATCCATAAGTGGATATGCACAGTTTGAACTGAAAGAATTGAAAGTGACTGGAATGCGTCAAATCTGAGCATATGTATTGTTCGGCACATTTCAAAGAGGAAGACAAATATACAACTATGGAATATACACTTGAAAAAAGCTTCAGTACTTGTTTTAGTATTGGTAAATAAAAGAGCCGTGATAGCTCAGTGTCTGGGCGCTCGCCTTTAAATCAATAAGTTAAGCAACCTGAGTTCGATCCCCGGTGCCGGCACCAACGAAGTTTTTAACTTTAAGTGCTGACTTATCACGTGTTCCACAGTGAAGGAAAACATTGTGAGGAAACCCGCATATTTTCGAAATAATAACAAACAAAAATATATTTCGAAGATATGTGAAGTCCGCCAATTCACTGTGGGGCCGCGTGGTGGACTATGCCCTGATACCCTCTGTATAGAGGAGGCCTTAGCCCAGCAGTGGGACTTGTATAGGCTGTTACTTTACTTACTTTTTAAGTATTATTAAGTTTGAGAAACTATAGCTAGAATATCCTCCATCAAGTTATGTTTGCAGCAATATCTTTATCAATATCTTTTCAGTTTTTTCATGAAGATAAAACTCGCAAACTTTTTTTTATGTACCTAGAGAAATTCTGATTTCAATTTTTTTTAAATTAATATAAACACCCACCTTGATGGACATACTCTCACATTCCCACTTTTTTGCCATACAAACCTTTCACATAATATCCAATTATAATAATGACCCAGAGAAGATTATGAACATTTATGACTTCTGACATAGTGATTCCTTCAAGAACTTTTCACCTATTATCCTACATTCCCATTTAATTCCAAGCCCTTATTATACATATTTAATTTTGCAGTAATGTGAATACCACATACAAAAATAGATACTTTTGCAACTTATAAGAAAAAAAAATATATTTGATACTAACCTATACACTTTTCCAGACATTACATATTCGAAACTGTCTGCCCTGTTGCCCTCCGTTTCTAATGGATTCCATTCTCCGCCATCCGGGTATCCGTTCTCCCGTAGGGTTGTGGCAAGTACCAATCTAAACTTATCACCTAGCTCCATAGGGTAAATCCAGGAATTTATGTCCAATATAAGATCCATTTTAAAAGATTCAGACTCGCAATGTAATCGACTAACGCGGTCGAATTTTTTCCCCTCAGGATCCATATCTTTAACATTGAAAATATCTTCAAACAGTACTCCTGCCATTGACACTACTGTTAAATTTGATTTTTAAAACTTTTCGAGTTATAATTTATAACATCAGCATTCAGCACGCCGTTAAACATCTCATTTGACACATCTTGACTGCAGTGCAGTGTTACCAACTCTGTGAAATAACTGAAATATATTTGTTCCTAAAGCTTAAGTCAAAAACCCATAAAATAAAATTATATTTTAAAAATTTTTTTAATAAAAAATAGCGAAAAGATTTTTGCATTATTTTCCTCCTCTCCATCATCAATTTAATAACACAGTATACTTCACTGTTCGATATATATCGAAGCGAAAATGTTGGTCTTATAAAAGTATTTAAACAAAAATTGAAAGGAATTTAATCCTATAAAAAATGATTTCTCCCTCATGATTTCCTTAGAGAACCAATATTTTTAATAGAATTTCAAAATATTGGTTGTTATCAATAAAACGTAGAAAAAAAATATAAGAAATAACAATTTTTCTTTTTTTTTTTTTTGGGCTGGATGAGCCATTGTTGGCCTTGGCCACTGTTGGCCTTATGCCACTGTTGGCCTTACGAAATAAGAAAAAATCCCTTAAAATAAAACGCCAAATCCCAATGCGTTTGTTTAACCTCTAAATTTGGGGGGAAATCTCGCCAACAGTTAAAAAACAGAAAAACATTTTCATCTGAGACTCCTAAGAGGGTGTTTTATTAGAGCATATTTTATTAATTGTTATTATTTTACGTTACTTTACTATATACTCTTTACCGCAGAATTGAACTATATTAATGTTGTACATACTAATAAAAACTAAAAATTGTCCTTAGTCTCTAAACGTCGTACTATATTATCGAGGCAATTATTAATTTATAAAAAATATGAAGTTTTCTTAATTTTTAAACCCATTGCAAATGTCGATACAATTTTATTCATAAATTACGAGAAAAAGTCATAAGTGGGTTACACCTAATAAAATGTGTTTATATTTCCATAGCAGCTTTCTCAAAGTATTTTTTTTTTTGTGTCGAGAAAAGCTTAAATTTTAAGTCATAGTGTCATTTCACTACGATAATTATAAAAATAAAATCTACAACATATGAAAAAAAAAAAAAGAACTAAAACGATGTAAATAATTAAAACTTATTTTAAATGTCAAAGTATTCAATTAAAAGTTACTTCCACTGAAATTTAATTTAAATATTTTTAAAATATAGCCTAATCTTCCCTCCCGATATATCCGATAATGAATAGCAAGCGCAATTACAAACACACACAAGTGTAATTATTTTGGGGCGTAAGCGTTGATGGTAGGTACTTTTATTTTTAAAAATATAAGTGATATATATGTTTCTAATAGTAATTAAAAACTTTACGCAGACTAATTAATATTCGTCGAGCACCGGGTCATTTGTTCTAATGGGTCCACGGATCGTCCTCTGTTATGTGGACCTCTTTCGACAAAGCTGATAAAGTTGCTAACACCAAACTACACTTGAAAAAAAAAACTAATTTATACTTACTCTAGTAAAATTTTATGATGGTATACCAAGCAAATAAAAATTGAAGTTCGTTTTGTTTTTTTTTTAAGTTTTAAAAGTTATTTAAATTTTATTATCCATAATTAAGTTAATTATAACGGTAGTATTTTGGGCTATCGTATAATTTGATGTACCTAGGGAGATTTTATTTCTTTATAATGGACACACCGTTGCATTGTCCGCAAGTCCACCCTTGCCCGCGTGTGTTAATTTGATTTACCATGTGAGGGCAACATTTTTATACAAGCTAACCTTTTTTAAATTGCACGTGTCTTTCTTAAATAAAACCGTACTGATAGATTTAGGAATTAGGTGAAAACAAAATATATTAATCGGAATCAGAAGCAGAGTTGCGTGAGCGGAATTATAAAAAAACAAAAGAATGACAGAAGTTCTTCAACCCGGCACGGAAGTGTTTTCGGAGAAGAAGAAGAAGAAAAACAAAGACCAGGTGACGCTTGGTGCGTTTCAGAAGATTGGCGACTTCAAGATCGAGCCATCCGAGTGTGTTGGAAAGTTAGACACGGCGTACTGGCCTTTATTGCTTAAAAACTTCGATCGGCTCAACGTGCGCACTAACCATTACACGCCACTGCCATTCGGCCATTCCCCGCTGAAACGTCCGATCTCCGACTACGTCAAGTCTGGCTTCATAAACGTCGATAAGCCAAGCAACCCCAGCTCGCACGAGGTCGTCTCATGGATAAAACGCATCCTTAAAGTGGAAAAGACTGGTCACAGCGGCACGCTCGACCCGAAGGTTACCGGATGCTTAATAGTGTGCGTGGACAGAGCGACGAGGCTGGTAAAGTCACAGCAAAATGCTGGCAAGGAGTATGTCGCCGTTTTCAGCCTGCACTCCGCGGTGGAGAACTTACAGAAGGTCACACAGGGGTTAGAAAAGCTTCGCGGTGCGCTGTTCCAGCGGCCGCCTCTTATATCGGCAGTGAAGCGTCAATTGCGTGTGAGGTCCGTCTATGACAGCAAGCTGTTGGATTTCGACCAGGAGAAGAACATCGGTGTATTTTGGGTTAGCTGCGAGGCGGGCTCGTATATCCGTACCATGTGTGTGCATTTAGGTCTGATGCTGGGCGTTGGTGGACAAATGATAGAGCTGCGCAGGGTCCGCTCCGGAATTCAAGGTGAAAAGGAGGGCATGGTGACCATGCACGACATATTGGATGCACAATGGGCGTACGAAAATCATAAGGATGAGACTTACCTGCGTAGGGTGATTAAACCTCTGGAAGGTTTGTTAGTCGGACATAAAAGGATATTCATCAAGGACAGCGCTGTCAATGCAGTGTGTTATGGTGCAAAGGTCCTGCTGCCTGGCGTGCTACGATATGAGGATGGCATTGAAATTGATCAGGAAATAGTTATTGTAACCACTAAAGGCGAGGCTGTCGCCCTGGCCATTGCCCTCATGACCACATCCACAATGGCCTGCTGTGATCATGGAGTTGTTGCCAAGCTCAAACGAGTAATCATGGAGAGAGATACCTACCCGAGGAAATGGGGCTTAGGCCCAAAGGCATCCCAGAAAAAGCAGCTAATTCAACAAGGTAAATTAGACAAGTACGGAAAACCTAATGAAAACACACCGTCCGAATGGCTCAACAGTTATGTAGACTTCAAAGTTAAAAAAGAATGTGAAATGGGTGAGAATGGTGAAATGGAAACCGATAGCAGTAGAAAGCGTACAGCCAGCACAGCAAATGCGGAAGATCCAAATAATTCTGTGGAACTTAAAGCGGAGAAGAAAAAGAAAAAAAAGAAGCATGACCAAGAGCAAAATGTCGAAGTTGATACTACTGTAGAGGCAGGGGATGCAACTTTAGAAGAAGCAGACAATTCTGTAAGAAAAGAGAAGAAGAAAAAGAAAAAGAAGGACAAAGATGCAGAGAGGCAAGAGGAATAAATGCTAGTGATTGATATAGACTATGTTAATGTTAAGTGTAACCCAGATGTTTCTCATATTCTTTTCCATTTCAAATAGAGGAATGCAATGATTAAGTCAATGTAAGCTTGCTAAAAAGTTTGTTTTTATTTCTTGATATAGGTAAACATTTGCATAGTCAATTTAAAATTATTAACAAGAAACTAAAAATATCTAGCAATATATATAAAACTGATATGACAATGTTTGCTACATAGTAAGAAAAGATTTTTTAATACTGCAAAACTACGATTCAGAAAGAGATCAGTCTCTTAAATATGTAATATCTATTTTTCTAATGTTAAGGGTGCCTGCATTCTGCCACTGTTTTAAGTGTCGAAAAAACATAAAATACGTGAAAGAGAATCATTTCTATTGTTTTGTGTATAAAATGTTAGTTATAAGTTAGTTATTAAGATGTTTTAAGTTTTACATAAAATAACAGCAATTTTGAAATGAGATGTTGTTTGTCAACATTAAAGTTTAATTTGAAATGAAGATTCTTTCATTGGGATTTTACTCATTGCTAGCGGCTTAATAACTGCATCCAGGACATCAAAATCAATGTCAGTTTCAAATTAACTTTAAAATTAGGTTCAATTTACTTTGCTTTTCAACAACTTAAAAAGCCTGATAAAATTACCTATAAAATTGGACATTCCTTTGAGGATGGCATTGGAATGCCGCCTACAATTCCTAAGAAACATGTAAGTTGACCATTTAATCATTTATATAAGCTTAATTATTAGTTGGTACAGCTTCTATTTGCTCAAATTGATAAAGGGAGGTCTGAAGACCAACTAGATTGAAAAACAATGATTCCACCAACTCTAATGGTTAGCAGTCCAATATGTTTTACATTTGTTATTTTTTATTTTTTTACAGTGTTGAGAAAAAATTTAAGATCTATATTTAGTATTAAAATGGTATACCTATAATTAGTTGGAAATAAATCGACTACATTTATAGTGAAATTATCAAAATTACGCTCGATTGAAGTTTTAAATTTCAAAATTTATAGGATTCGAACCTATACCTTCCAGGTAATTCGTACAGACACTCCTATCTCATCTAAGCGTCGAAATCTTCACTGCCCGAAATTATTGACGTCTTGTATTTACTTGTGTGTTTTTATTGCATATTTACAACGTTCTGCGTGATCTACTGTACTTCCTTTAGAGTAAACATACTTATCGTTCAAGAATTAAAACCGACCAAGTGCGAGTCGAACTTGCGCAACAAGAAATTGTAGTAAACTATCAAGGCACCGAACATAACACTAATTAAAAAAAACTCAATAAAAAGATAAACTGGATTGTGGGGTAATAATTTGATGATACGGAATTTGTGAAGTCAAACTTCTTTTGATGCTTTTGGAAAAAATATGAGATATTTATATAAACCGACATATACCGCATATACCGACAGCCAAAAAGCGACGGAAGCGTCTATTGTGAGATGTAAAGCTTTAGTTTCCTTCTTTTTCTGTCACTAGATCATTAGGTATGGTGACTTCATGTCTCTTCGTCAATCGTCTACTTGTGGCAAAAAGACGGGACCACGTCCAGCCTACACGTCACCTTGATTAGGAGAAAAGAGAGGGAAGAGCCCGGGGACGGCCTCATGTCAGGAGAAGCCGTATAGAAGATTATTCGTCTAAGAGTATAGACTACTATTAGTATGGGAGTTTCAGAAGTTTAACAGTATAGGAGTATAGCCGATCAATAGTATGGTAGGAGTATAGACGACTAATAGTATGGGAGTTAAATTATTGAAGTTGCCTATAAAAACTCGTGCGGAGCTACGCTCTGGGGAACCGGTGATTGGTCGTCAAAGCGTAACCGTGATTTATTATTATTTTGTGCAGAGATTATGTTCCTTTTTTTTAAATGTTCTGTTTAAAAAATAAATTCCATATATGGATATTCTAGAATATATAATAATATACACATACTTTTGTTATTGTTTCATAACGTTCTCGATTGAACACGAATTATCACAATAAAAAAGAAAATTAAGAAAATATAGATGAATTGGGAAACGCTTAGAGATGCTATTAGTTCTTATTTTTTAGACGATTTTTCATCATTTGATTTCCAACGTAACTGCCAAGGCACGACGAAAACGTCACATTTGATCAGAATCAGATTGTGTCAAATCTCAAAAGTCAAAACATAAGATGATAAGAATTAAGATTTATGAATTGTTTGAATAAAATATAAGGAGATGTGTTGTAAGCAAAATAAAAAATCTAAATGAAGGATAGTATCATGTCTTTACATTCGGTCCAATTTGACGCTGCTATATATAATTATGAATATTTTCAACAAGACAACGTATGTAGACTGTGCTGGAATACAAACGCCGAAAGGGAGATTATTTGCGATAATACAGAAGATGCTTTTAATATAAAAAATGAATTAGTGGGTAAAATACGTTATTGTTTAAATATAGATATAACCGATATAAGCTATCCTAAGAGGGCATGCGAAGTTTGTCTTGAACAATTGCAAAAGTTTCACGAATTTAAAAGTCTTTGCACTGAAAATGATAAAAGACTGCGCGATATTGTGAAAATGAAATGTAGTAATGATTTCGTAGATGTAATAAAAAATTCTTGCGTAGTAAAAATCGAAAAAAACGAATTAATCTCTGAATTTGAAGACGTCAATTTCTTGGATGCTTATAATGACGGTTTTCATAATATAGACGGTGATAGCAACTCAGGAACGTTGCAGAAAGTCGAGGAAATCAATAGTGTCGCTAAACCAAAGTACAAGCCGAGAAGGACACCAACATATTGTAATATTTGCAGAATGGAATTTGAAAACATGATCAACTTTTCCCATCACAATTCACAGTGCCATGGCATCGAAGATAATGGACTGTTTAAGTGTTTTGGTTGCGAGAAGAGGTTCAAAAGTAGAAAAACAAGATTGGGCCACGAAATTAACTTTTGTAAAGGCCTGAAGGATGGTTATCAATGTAGTATTTGCTATAGGTATCTTCCAAAACGCAGGACTTATGAGAACCATATGCGTAACCATAGAGAAAATGTACCAATTGATGTTCCACTTGATATTTTCAAATGTGTTAAATGCTTCAAATTGTTCAGCACAAAAGCAAATTTGAGTAAGCACAAGTCCGTGCACGATTCAGAAAAAAAGAATTTTGTTTGTGAGGTAATAATTTAATAATTTTAATATACTTAAATACAATTAAAATAGTATAAATAGTGGTAAGACAACTCAGCAGCTTTTACTGTTGCAGCAGCTGTTACTGGCTTGTTCTTGTTAGTACCATGGCCAGTAAAATTTTCCATTAGCATGGGGTGTTTTGCGACCTAACAATTTTTTATTCTGTAGAGAAGAATCACTAATGAAATAATCAACAAGCAGAGTTCTCTGGTTGCTTATAGTTTTCGATAATACATACTTCCATACTAATATTATAAAAGTTAAAGTAACTTTGTCTGTCTGTCTCGCTGTCATGCCAAAACTACTCACTACTCGATTTAAATAAAATTTGGTACACAGATAGTCTAGAGCCCGAGAAAGGACATAGGCTATTTTTTAATTAGAAAAAAATGTTGTAAAGGGTTGAAAGGTTAAAGAAAGATATTTATTTAAGGGCTTCAACGCTGATCATTCATAAAAAATTTCCTTCCTATATAGATGAACATTCCTTGCAGAGCTGCGGTAGGGTTTTCACAAGGCAGGACTACCTTCACAAGCACAAGCTAACCCACACCGGGGTTAAGCAGCACGTGTGCCCACACTGTGGGTTCAGAACGACGCAGAGGTCCTCCCTGACAGTCCACATCAGGTGAGGAGACCGCGATTGTAAACCTTTTTTTTAATAAATACTTGGCTGCTTTTGACTGCTAGTTTATATGGTACGCCATAACGTCCACAATTCTTCATGAAATTTTATAATTCGAACACCATTACAAAAATTATATAAAGTTAAAATTTTTATAAAAGACCGCCATGTACTGACAATTAAAAAAAATTGAGTCGTGATAGCTCATTGTTCGGGCGCTCGCTTTTAATTCGATATACTGATTATTCAGTAAACTGAGTTCGATCCCCGGTGTCTGCACCAACGAAATTGTTAATTTTAAGTGTTGACTTATCACCTGCTCATCGGTGAATTAATAACAGATAATATTTCAAAGACATGTGAAGTCCGCCATAGTCCGCCGAGCATAGTCCTATAGTCCCCATTGGGGTCTATAGGACTATGCTCTATGGTGTCTATCCGTAAAGAGGAGGCTTTTGCCCAGGTTTGGGGCATGTATAGGCTGTTACTTTGCTTTCATAGTCATATTTACGTGCATACATTCATATACCTTGTGTGGGTCACACACATACACACACACATCCCCACACATGGATACACACGGATGCCGTGGCGGATTTGAAGACTAGGCCGCCCTTGGCCCCAGCCCATGTAATAAGTTCCAGCCGCCCCTTTCTCAGCGCCCATCATATATCTTGTTATCATCAGTGAATTTTTCGTCATGATTGGCCGCCCCTTGTATGTCCTCCTACGCCCGGGCCTGTTGGGCCTTCGGGCAAATCCGCCACTGCATGGATGCATCCATAGAGGCAAAGCAGACAGTCTTAAAACTTCACACTAAGATCATCGGATACAAGCGAGGCGCCCTAATCCAGGAAGCACACCGGTGAGCGTCCATACAGCTGCGACGTTTGCCCGCAGCGTTGCGTCTCCAGTTCGAATCTGCGGGCGCACCGCAGACGGCACCTGGGCCTCAAGAAGTACGAGGTAAGCTCTATCACTGTGTTTATTTTTATGTAAAAAGGTAGCAAACGAGCAGGCGGTTCACGTGATGTTAAGCGATAACCGCCGCCCATCGACATTTGCAACACCTGTAGGATTGCAAATGCGTCGCGTGCGAGGCAGCAATGAGTCGCGGTCAATGGAAGTTGCTACCAGAACGCGAGTTGACGCTTCCGAAATTGGCGGCTGCCATTTGTATTCATTTCGATTAATGCTTTTTCAAAATAACGTTTCACAGACAGTTCGAATCTGTGAAACTGTGGTAGGACCACACAAATGTGTTCACTGTTGCACGAATCGGCAGGTCCGTCCGGGTAAGTACTACCAACTCACAGAAAAGCGGCGTGAAGTGGAAGTGTTATATTTTTGCTTTTCGTCTGGTGAATGAGTTGAGAACCAGGATCCTTTTGAAGTTGGCAACGAATCTGCAACGCATCATTTGTTGTGATTTATGTGCTCGCTTGACAACTATTCACTTAAAGTTTATACGTTCTAGTACACGTAAGAAGTTATACTTCTTTAGCGTAACAATGGAAATAAACTAAAATTTTTACCCCCGTGCCTCCCCCAGTAATTTCTGTTTGTGAAAAAGACATTAAATGCAATTTATATCGGTTTAATGCAACAACTTGGTATTATAGGTAAATGTCAAAAAGTTGCCAAATATTGCCACAGTGATACCGCGAAGTTGGTCGCTTCGCAGTCAACTTCATCATGTCGGTGTCGGTGTGGCGCGCATCGTAAAAATTCTATTGCCATAATTTTTTCCAAACGCGCACAAAAGAAGTATAACTTCGAATAATTTTTTCCTAATTTCCTAATACCTCGATGCCTAACCTATCCGCGACAGTGCACGATCTGCTCTAAGAAGTTCGGCTACAAGGTGAGCCTGGAAGAGCACGTGGCCTCCGCCCACGAGCGCTCGCAGACGCACGCGTGCCAGCAGTGCGGCGCCGTGTACACCAGGGTGAGGGGGCTGCGCAGGCACCAGCTCGCGAAACACGCCAAGAGCGGAGCCCCGATAGGCCAGATCGCTGCAATGGAGGCGGACGCCTGCGCCGGTGCGACGGAGACGAAAGATGCGGCCGGCCCGCTCTGATGTTGATGCAATCAGGGTTGGGCCGAATGGCCTCTTCTGGGGCCTTTTCTGGTTGTGATGCTTGGAAATGTACTTAGCGGAGTCATGGAGTTATCCTCGACGAAATATTAAAATTTATACCACATAGTATGTGTTTTCATTTCCTAATTGTGTTCTGTAGGTACTATAGACCTGCCCCGGCTTCGAACGTGTAGCACTTAAAAATTCTGTAGATCGGATCGCTACCAAACTTAACAGGATTATCCACTGGGCTAGTCTGAAGATGAACTGCTAACTCAGAAAATGTCTATAAACCTAACTCTTAGCATGTAGTAAGGTGCTTCGAGCTGGTGTTCTCACATCAATTATAATTTTATTCACCAAAAACTGCTACAAAATGATCATCGTGTCGCGTTGGCTTTCACAAATTTCTTAAACCTGGAAGACCTATTTGTGGATAGTACAAATTTTCGTCCGTGTTGGGATCCCATAATGACGAGAGAAGTTGGCAAGATAAGGACGTAAAATGTTCCGCCTTCTCTGCTATAGGCCACTTTCGTAGTTATAGTGGAGCTAAAGCACTCTATAACTCGGCTGCTAAAGATATTCTTAACACTTTGACACTTCAATGGAACTTGAATGAAACGATATATCACGATGGGTTGTTGTCATGTAGGCGGCCGGTGGTAAATAATATAGTCAAAACCCCTTACAAAATGATTCACATTAGGCGATCCCACCTAGGTGGGACAAGGGTAGGAGGATGATGATGATGATGCAGGTTGTTTTAACACTTGTGTGTTAGTTCTTGTATCTTGTATTAACTGATGTTTTTGATTTCAGTCCCGAGACTATTAAAGCTTCATCTGACGCAGAACCGATGGGCTAGCCAGAACCCACAGGTTTGGGTGTGTTAGTTGGGTAACTTACTCTGTGGTAGGGCTACGCTGTGGCACGAATTGGCAGGTCCGTCCGGGTAAGTACCACGACTTCATAGAAGACTGGTGTTAAGAAGAAGTGTTAAACTTCTGCGTTTCGTTAGGTGAGTGAGGTAGCCGGGGCACACTTTATTAAAATGTGTTGCCACATCTGTTACCCTTCGGGTATTGTTAAGGGGCGGCGGTTATCACTTAACATCACATGAACATCTACTTTCTCACAAAAAAAAAAAAAAAACATAGGCATCTACTTTCTCTTGTGGACTGCCGTCAGAAGTGAAAACATAAAACAATATCATAATTAAAATTGTATAATATTTAATTCTACATATTTTATAGGCACTCAGAACAATGATAACAATATTTATATCATATCCATAATTACAATATTTTTGAGTATTCCTTTTTTTTAAATAGCTCATGAAAAGCATTCGGTTTTCGATGATGCGACTTTCACGCTTTTTGTTCACTCAAAAAGTACACATAAAATTATACACAGTATAAATATGTCATGGAAAGCGTTTGGTGACGATTTCGCGGTGAAAAAGTGCTCAACGCACCTAAAGAAAATGTCTCTACAAAAACAGAGTTCATCCGCCTCGGCACTGATGCTAAGTGATATCAGCGTTACATCGACCTCCATAGTGATTTTAGAATCAGCGTTGGACCCACCGGGAATCCGCTTTAGTGATTTCAGAATCAGCGTTGGATCCACCGGGAATCCGCTTTAGTGATTTCAGAATCAGCGTTGGATCCACCGGGAATCCGCTTTAGTGATTTCAGAATCAGCGTTGGATCCACCGGGAATCCGCTTTAGTGATTTCAGAATCAGCGTTGGACCCACCGGGACTCCGCTTTAGTGATTTCAGAATCAGCGTTGGTTCCACCGGGAATCCGCTTTAGTGATTTCAGAATCAGCGTTGGATCCACCGGGAATCCGCTTTAGTGATTTCAGAATCAGCGTTGGATCCACCGGGAATCCGCTTTAGTGATTTCAGAATCAGCGTTGGGAATCCACCGGGAATCAGCGCTTTAGTGATTTCAGAATCAGCGTTGGATCCACCGGGAATCCGCTTTAGTGATTTCAGAATCAGCGTTGGATCCACCGGGAATCCGCTTTAGTGATTTCAGAATCAGCGTTGGATCCACCGGGAATCCGCTTTAGTGATTTCAGAATCAGCGTTGGATCCACCGGGAATCCGCTTTAGTGATTTCAGAATCAGCGTTGGACCCACCGGGACTCCGCTTTAGTGATTTCAGAATCAGCGTTGGTTGCGTTGGATCCACCGGGAATCCGCTTTAGTGATTTCAGAATCAGCGTTGGATCCACCGGGAATCCGCTTTAGTGATTTCAGAATCAGCGTTGGACCCACCGGGACTCCGCTTTAGTGATTTCAGAATCAGCGTTGGTTCCACCGGGAATCCGCTTTAGTGATTTCAGAATCAGCGTTGGATCCACCGGGAATCCGCTTGATAACACTACACACACAGTACTCTCGCCTACGAGTATGGCGAAACCAACACAAAGCGGACAACAGGAGTGTGCCGTTTCAGAATCGTTCTCAGCGTCCCCAGCCACCGATTAATGCAGACGACTTCCATGGGGTCACGTGGGATCATGCGCAGCCCTACCCAACGCGGAGGGATCTCGTGGATTTCGACTAGCCCATCAGTTCTGCTTTCGATAAAGCTTTAATAGTCTACGGACTGAAAGCAAAAACTACAGGTCATGAAAGCTCCGGACTAACGGCAAAAGCTTCATGATAACGTAATAAGTTAAACCATGATACATCTAAAAATATGACGAGATAAACCAATCGCGCTCGAAGCACCATCTACACTTTTTGACTGTTTTTTTTTTCTAGATAACCATTTTTAACGGTACATTTACATATTGTACATACATTTATTCCACTTAAAATACCTTAAACTTTGCCTTAAAACTATAAATTAAAATTGCACAGATTAAACATTTACTAGGCGATACGACATACTTTTTTTTATTGTGTTATGGTTTTATTTTGTTATCATACATTAGAAAAATATTTAAAAATGTTATTTTGATTAAATAATATTTGAAGTGTACGATTCGAGTGAGTAAGCGTTATAAAACGGCAATACCTGTTGCTACATTAGTTTGCAGTTGCTGTTCACAGGTTCTACTATCTATAAAACTCAATTATTAAATAACTGAAGCGGAATTGCACTTTCATTCTTATCATTGGTAGCTTAGTGGCTTTTTATTCATATAGTTGATAGCGTTGTGTCATTAATAATATTATCATTAGTAACTTACTACTATTGACATGGTAAGATGCTTATTTCATTATAGATGCGGTTTTACGCTGTTTTGTCAATAGGAAAGACAGTTATTTGCTCGACATTCACTTAGTCACGCAACATACACGTCACTAATAAAACCGTAACATATTTTTTTATTAATTCCTTTCTAATAACTAGAACTAAGTAGGCTATTAGCCTATGATTGATTGACTCTATATGTGATGACTCTATGATGGCTCTAAATCTCTTCCATGTCTTTTGTATTTGTAGGCGTTACCTAGTTTAGGCTGTTTTAGTTTCAAAAATGGCGAATGACGTTTTCGTAAATAATTTGTCATTAAACTCCTGAGTCTCGAATCTCGAAGGCACGCATTTAAAGGTTTCCTTTTTCTAATAATTTTGGTTACCGATGAAATTTGATTAAAAAAAAATGCTCACTGTTTGATAAAACGTTATTGTAGTCAATGAAACGGAGTTTTTGGGTGAAAATATCTGGATTCTTTTTCCTCATATATTGTCGTTTGCACTGATTTTCTTCTATTATTTCAATGATTATTAATGTTTCTCTATACATTAAAAATATTTATAAGAACATAGGCTCTTTTTAGCGGGCACACAGCGCTGTGCCGGCCCTATCAGCATAAAATCCCAAAGAAGGCTCGCTATGAGCAGACACGCCCATGGCTGACGTTTGGAGGCAGGGAAATTCACCTGAACTTAAGAGGTAAACGAATCAGAGCCCTTAAGTCATACTGCATTTACTATCAATTCTGACTTTTCTATCAATTTAAAGGTTGTGGAAATAATAGGCAGGAATATATATTTATGTACATGTATTTATTTTACCATTTTTAGCATTTCGAGTCATAGTACGAAGCGAAATTTATTTTCACGCAGCATACGAAAACTCTATTCGCATTTCTATATAAATCGAGAGAAAAATTGTTTGCACATTCTACATTTAATGAAAACACTTTTCAATTTGGCACGACTTGGCTTGTTATCTGTCATTTGCTCACAATAGATTATTATCTTTTCCAGAAACAATTTAAATCTAAAAGTTTACCTTAAACTTTAGCAGTTGATGCAGTGGCGGACTAACGAGGCTCCTAAAAACTGACATGTTCTCTTGAACAAATTCTAAACAATATAATATAGATAGTAATAAAAAGTTAACAACTTGATTTAAAAAAATACCTATTGTTTCCAGTAAGTTTTGTGCTTTCATTTTACTGAACTCCCCAATAACTTCAGTGTAATCAATTTCTTTTGAAACAACCAAACTTACTGTAAATAATTTATTATATTTAATTTGATAAATAATAAATAAAATATATTATTTATTCACAATATTTAACTTATTTTTATTAATTGTTTTTTTTTTCTGATCGATTTGTTTTTATTTTCCTCGTCCATATCCATACGTATGTTTATTTAAGTCCAATTTAAGTTTCTATTGCAAGTTTTTACATAATACATGCAAATTTGAAATGAATAGAAAGCTTTTAAAATTAGCTTTAACTACTTAAACTCCTCAGTTTGAGTATGGGTGAGTAGTATGGGTGAGTAGTATGGGTGAGTAGTAGTATGAGTGAGAGTATGAGGCCCCCGCCTCATTTAGCTTTGCCGCCCCGGGCTTTTGAAGGACTTAAGTCCGCCACTGAGTTGATGGTAAAATAACTTTGAGTTTTGCGAAATTCTATACATTCATACAAAATGGAGATATTATACAATTAAATAGATACATTTTTATCACAAAACACAACCAATTAAACTTTATTGCTGACGTTACATGTTACGATCGATATTTTAAAATTATTTGGTGTCTAAGGGTGCTCAACTGCTCAAAATATAAAAATAAGACAATCACGATATGAATACTATACAGATTTTATAACTTAAATATGAATATTTTTTTTACATTTCGCTCGTTTTGTTAAAAAATATTTAATCGGTTTATTTAGACACACCCTTAGAACTCAATAAATCATCAATAGATCTATACAACATCTACACAAATATATTCAATCCATAAATTAATATAGTAATATAAATTTCTTTACAATACTCAATTCTAATAAGTACTTATTTAAATAGCTATTATTCGAATAGACAGTTTATACTACGCGATATTGTCAAATACAGGAACTTCAGGTTACACTCTAAATATTATGCCGTAGACAATATTAAGATTTAAAATATGGAGGCCGCCTTCTCGTGTGGCAGATTGTCCTACAAACTACGTCGCAATTATTTGTAGTTAATTTAAGTTATACGTCTAATTTTGACCCAAAAATGACATTGTCATGAGAGAAAGACTACTTTGATTAATATATTGTATCTGTAATTCGAATCTTTTAAGCATTTTACATTTTTGTTTATGGCAGAGTCATAGACATTGCATTGTCATACTTTATTTTTTATCAAATCCATGATAACAACAACAATAATAATGCAAACATATTAACAGTGACGTAGCTATCGTAGGTGCAGGTGGTCGCCCAGGGCTCCGAAGCTCAGAGGGCCCCCTAACCATTGAAACAAAGCGATTCGCTTCTTCATTTATCATCCGTACTGCTAAGGAATAGAATAGCCTGCCGGCGTCCGTCTTTCCGTCCGATTACAACGTAAGCGTCTTCAAGGCAAGAGTGAATAGGTTTCTACTGAGCTAGCGCGCTTACCATCTACGGCTGCATCGCCACTTACCATCAGGTGGGATGGCAGTCAAGGGCTGGCCAGTTTTGAATTAAAAAAAAAAATAAACGGAAATAAAAGGTACAACTAGCTCTCGAATCTAGAAAACTCGAGGATGCTCTCTCGACTTTAAAATGACAGAACTCCTAATGACCGACGTGACCTGACTTTCAACACGTTCGCCAAGCGTTTTGGAAATGCATGTGCTATTTTTTGCCACTATTTGATTCATTACTTTGCACTTTAAGATGAAAAATTTAAATTTGTAAGGAATAGGACTAAAAGTTTCTGGCCGTTGCGGTAGTCGAACCCATGTCCAGATTTCTTTTCTCTACAAATTAATGTCTCATCTGTATAATATACACACAGGGATTCTACCTCTCATAAAGTCAACGTCTGCACCGTGGCTCTTGTCAACCTAGCTCCGCCACTATTAGGCTAATATATTTATATTAAACTGCATCCCACCCAATTAACAAAAAAAAAAATCAAAACATCACATGTTATAAATCCAGATTTATGACTTTTCAATATTTATCAAATATCACAAGTATTATAAGCTGACACTTTTCAAATTCAATTTTGTGATATAAAATAAATAAACTATACAAGTATACATAGACGCTTTCGAAAATATTTTAAAATTGTTTTTGGACGAGACCTTTATTGCTTTATATACATTCGTGATATATGATACCCAATGTTTTTCTATATATACTACTAAATAAGCTATCGCGACCTTGAAAATCCGGTCATGAAACTTATAAAATTTGCAAATTAAAAAAAGTTAAGTAATTTCACATTATTCAAATTTGTCAAAAAAAAACCCGTTTAGATGATCCGTTTGTGGAAATGTATAATAATAAGTATTTAAAAAAATAAGAAAAAAAATGTACGCGTTTTGAATGAAAAGTTTAATGCAAATGTCAAATTTTCGTTATTTACTTTGATGGCTGAAATGCACATTGAGCCGTTTAGACATCATGTTTTCTTATAATTCATTTTAGTTTAAACGCCGCTCAATTGCTTTTATGAAAGTTTGCCGTAGATAGGTTGTGGAGGTCTACAATTTAAACAACTATCTTACTTGCTTTGCCTGCATGCAGACGATTCATAGAGTGCCATAGACCCTATTATTTAGCCATTTAATAAAAAACTAAGTATCATAAAATAATTCTTGTTAAAAATATACATATTCCAGTCTATAGGAGTTTCTTTAATTTATATGGATCAATTAAGTATCTGCTATAACTAGTTAATTTTTAAATAAATAAACTTTAAAATTTTACAATGGAAATGGTTTCTATCCGATGGTACACTACACAATTTAATTACATTATTATGTACTAAATAGTAACTTATAAACCTTCAAATAATATAAATATTGTTTACAGTCTGTATTTTACATTATGTACATTTAATATGTTAGCTGGTAAAACACACCGGTTATCGAAATGTCAATTAAAAATGTTATACAAGAAATTACATTCGAAAAATTTTATATCGCAAAAATGAGCACCGGTCAATCAATAAAAGTGTTATATCATTTTAATTTTTAATATTTTGTTGAAAAGTCGACAAAAGCAAAACCAAACTTGAGTAAAAGTCGACATGTGCTTTTCCGTTGCCTTAAACAAAGTTAACTTTTTTCTATGGCATTGTCAAGTTGTCAACATAATATCTTGTAGGACATATTAAGTGTTCGCCGGTATGATAGTCTTTTATTTCATTCAATAAGGCAGGTTGTCCCGCAAGAAGGCTTGTTTCATATACTCCCGCCTTAGACACTTGCCCCACCAGGACCTTTGCGTGCACATTTTCACAGGTTTCAAGATGAAGCATTTGGTTTGGACGACGTTGAAGAAAAGCTTGCCCACCATGTTGGACACGGACGTGTCGGCAAGTTTCAGGCACGCGCGAAATCTGGAATAATAAAGGGAACTCGTTATCTTTGGTCGGATTAGGTAGCAGATATTCCCCACTGCTTGGACAAATACCTCCTCTATTCAGAGGATATAAAGGCATATTCCACCATGAAACCCCGGTCTATTAAAGAGAACGGGGGATAAAATTTGTAGAAATTTTTTTTCTGTTACGCTAAAGAAGTATAATTCTTAATACATGCATACATAAGTATACAGACATGTTTATTATTTTGAAAATATGCAGGTTTCTTTACAATTTTTTCCTTCATTGTTGAGCACATGATAAGTATGCACCAGTGACGGATTTGTATTCTTGGCCGCCCTAGGCCCCAGCTCATGTAGAAAGTTACAGCCGCCTCTTTCAGTGAATTTTTTGTCACGATTTTAGTCACGATTGGCCGATGGCCGCCCCTAATATGTGGCCGCCCTAGGCCCGGGCCTATTGGGCCTTAGGGCAAGTCCGCCACTGGTCAGCACATTAAATTGTAATTATCAATTTCTTGATGCCAGCACGGGTAATTGAACTCAGGGTATATCGAATTAAAAGCGAGTGCCTGGACATAGAGCTAACACGGCTTAGACGTATAGTCTATACTATCAATTATCAAATGTTAATGGTTTGAATTATCAGACTGAATCGCCTATGCCTTTTCACCCTCCTTGCTACCGAGGTAGCAGGTTTTTTCATCGTAAAAAGAACATGCCCACACTTCTTAACTTTATTATATAAGTAATATGCCATAACATCATACCCCTCTTACTGATGAAATAGAAAAAAGCTGACAAGTAAACGATAAAAGGAGTAGGTAATAAAATGGCCGATATAAAATAGCCATAATTATGACACCACTGAGAGCTCGATAAAATCATTCAATAAAACAAAAGTATTGGGAGACGGACAGCGTCCCTCGGAATCAAATATTCCACAGATTATACAATCTACGCTTTTTATATTTAACGTCAGGTCGTGAAAAGGGAATGCGACATTTCATTTAGAGTCGATATCACTGAACTAGTAGGATGAACGTGCGCCATAGTTTATTATGTAAAGTTCCTGTTTAAGAAATTTTAACAGAAAACACCACAACCAACACCACCAGTTTAGTTGATTGTTATTTGTCCGAGCACAGTTTTAATGCCTTATGTGAACGGTGAAATTATTTTCCATGACATTATCCCGATCATCGGATTTCGTAAAGAAAATCCGAAGTAATTCGGTGTAGCTTTCCCATACTAAAAAAAATACATACAGTCGAACATAGAAAATCCTCCTTTTTTGAAGTCGTATAAAAATAACATTGTCTTCAACCAGTGTGAAGGGACAAAAATATGTACGCCTAATTTTGCCGTTATTATATTTAAACGGCTGTAGTTCAACTCGCTTTTCTTGATGGCGCTAAGAATTGTTAAAAATACAATAAAAACAAAGTAGGATAACGCGTCGAGATTATCGCGCGGATAGGATATCGACTGCTTGGCATCGTCGGGCCCCGAAGGTGCAGGATCGAATCCTGGCAGCTGTGAAAAATTTATTCGACAAAGTATCCACAAATTTTAAACGTCATCCAAGTGCAGAGACTAGCACAAAAAATAAAATTAATTATAGACCTAATTCCGGAATGAGTGGTTTACGAATTACTAATTTAACAAAAGTAAGCAATGACACTGCTAGTTAATGCGCGGCAATATACTGGCCTGACATTGTGTATTCGGGCGGTTCTATATAATAAAAATACAGTAAATAAAAACTGTTAGAAATAACAATTGCTTTCAATCAAAGTTTTACGTATCCGTATATAGTTATAGAAAACTAACACTGGTAGGGCCACGCAAGTCTTCACTGTTGCACGAATGAGCAGGTCCGTCCGGAGAAATACGGCAGACCGGCGCGCAGTGGAAGTGTTACACTTCTGCGTTTCGTCTGGTGAGTGAGGTAACCGGTGAGGTAACTTTATTAAAAGGTGGCAACGCATATGCAACCCTTAGGGTGTTGCAAACATCCATTGGCGGCGGGTATCACTTAACCACAAGGTAACCGCCAACTCATAATAGCTAGTCATTTTACAATTCATTGTGGGTGGCGATTTGAAAAACACAGCCGGAAGTTTTCTTCATAAATACACGAATACTATCGCCACATGAATAGAGGATATCAGATACATCAAAACGTACTAGGAGGTGTATTAAAGACCAGACATTGCACTTTACCTACTATTATTCTTTAGTCCAATTATGTAAATTGCAGGTGAAACACTATTTCTCTGGAAGCTAACCATTAAATTAAAATTTAAAAAAAACTGGTGTTTTCTATAAAGAAAAGATTTACAGTAACTGTCTTCATTATAGTTTAGGTTCTCCCCTCGATGGAGGAGGTTACATATGCTATAGGATTATTCCAAATTCCACAGACATTACAATGGCTGAACGCCACTCGATTTCAATTTAAAAAAATATGGCGTCCACGGACATTCCTATTCAAAATATTACCCGCTGATTTTCCCGAAACAGTTCATGTACGGATTGTAGAGATAAAGGGGACAACCTCATTCGACGGATAAGTTTAAAAAGTTTCCAGTGAGTAGCACCAAATAACGGTTCAAAACACCAGAATAGAGCTGGTGTTACAAAAATGGTTATTACTTTGTCAAGTTGAATATAAGGTGACTTATAGACATGGTAACTATTAATACACCACCACCGCCTAATATTCACTTCCCTCTCTACTAAATACTCGCATTTCGAAAGTATTTATGATACTTTAGTTGATATTCTATAGATAGAAAACACATAATTATAGTACATTTAAAAAAAACAAAAGCACGTAATATTCAGCGCTAAGATATGATTTGTAAATGTTATTCCTATTAAAGAAACGACTAGTCGTCTTTTTACCAAGATAGCATAAGGTCTTTGTTCTAGGTTTAAGGGATTAACTGTGTTCAAAATCAGTCAGTCGTCTTATTAAAATTTAGGCTGGCGGCAAGTTTTATACGCCAATGAAGGACCATTAAAGTTCCATCTCTTAATTCATTCACATAGTATAAAACAAAGTCGTCCCGCTGTCTGTCTATCCCTATATATGCTTAGATCTTTAAAACTATGCAACGGACCTCGATACGGTTTTTTTTACTAGATAGAGTGATTCAAGAGGAAGGTTTATATGTATAATTGCACCCGTGCGAAGCCGGGGCGGGTCGCTAGTGTATTAAATAAACGTTATTAAGTTAGTTTAATAGTTTTGACTTTGACTTTAAGAGGGTACCAAAGTTGCCAATTTTTTTTAATATATGAATTACCTAATAAAAGGTTTCTATTAAAATATTATACATGTTTCATATAAAATATAATAACGGCAGAGGCGTCTTGATACTTTTCAATCTTGTGATTTTTAAACTGTTCACTTTTACTGCCGGCGCCGGCTGATATCGTTTCCCGCCAATTTTATGACGCCAGGTCATAAATCTAGCGAATGACCTCTTGGATGACATTTCATAAGTGTTTGATTTAAATGGATCATTGTTGTTAGCTTTGTTAACGTGCAAGGATTTATTGTTTTTAAAAGAGATAATTGAGCGCGGTCACTTAATGTATGTATAGTAGGATTTCAGTTACCTAAACCATGAGGTTTAAGGAAATCAAGAGAATAAATTTTATCCAGACGTTTATAAATACACAGAATAAGTTTTTGTGTGCATCGATTTATATTATGTATAGTTAGGTTTATATGTTCCTTATTGTAATGAATCTATATGGATAGTCCTATAACATTTTTCACTCTAACAAATGTTCTAAATGATTCATAATCAAAATTATATTTCGGACTCGGCAAAATTGTTGTACGAGGTACTTTCAATCCGATTTTTACCATTTTTTTGTGTTATCTCGTGTCAAACCCGACCAAAAACATTTGCCATCTCCCATTACATAATTATTATGAATAAAACATATAGATTAAAAATCTTTTTTTTTAAAGCGCTTTACCGCACAAGAATTCTTAAGGGAAATAATTTTCGGAAAAACAATTTGGCGCCCAGAAAATAGCACGGCCCGCAATAAATGGCGCGAAATCTGCCATTACGTCAATGGCACGCTGTCAAATGCAGCGCGTTCGGAAACCACCCGAGGGTGCTTACCGGTGCACCATCTGAAATATTTCCCCCTTTTAAACGCACTCGACTATTGCATTACAGATAAAATTGGAATTTTCGTTTCGATGGTTTGTCTACCAGTCCGCAAATAATATTTTTTTGTTTATAATTAAATTAATATTTACACAAACTTTATTTTCTAAATAATTTTATTATTTTTGGAGGGATAATATTATTATTTGGAGGGATATTAAAAACCTTAAATATTTCTTGATAATTTTTCGGATTGCTTACGGCCACATTCGTTTCGTTACAATTACGGAACGAAAACTAATTGCAATTACGCGTTAAAGGGAAGTCAATCGAGCGTCTTTGAAACCGCTAGATTGGGGTCCGCAGTAGCGTGGAAATGCCGTAAGGTCACTAAGAAAATGGCGATTGTACGAGGGGCTTCCAAAATGGCGCCTAATCGTGTGTTTTCGCGGCGTGGCCACCTTCAGTCTCGGACCGGCGTGGGAGAGGCGCGCGGATTACTGGCAGCTGACAAAGCCCCGTGTTTCGCACTTAACGAGACCATAGCGAGCGATTTCGCTCTTTGTGGGCCCTCGCGTCAGCACAGAGTAGTGCCTGCAGAGAGAACAAACATTAGGTTTACTGCAATTCTGTTTACTGCAATGGGAGCATGCCGTGAGGACCAGCTAGCCAGGAATCAGAAATTAAATGCTTAGTTTTATACTTAATTTCTACAGCTTTTAATAAATCGATAAATAATACTTTATTTTTTTTTTAATTTTCTTTTTTATAATATAATTAGTTTGCTCTTGTAACGTAATGTTTTCTGATGAATCAGTTGCACAGTTGTTAAGCTATTGTCTTCAGCGCTGCGGGTAGTGGGTTCGTTTCCTAGATAGTTGTTTCGGTTCTGGGTGTTTGTTTCTAAGAAGGGCTGGCGTCAGTCTGATTGTAAAAATGACCTAGCCAATACCATTAACGACATGATTTTTGCCGACCAAACCTATATATTTATCGCAATAAGGATAGCCATAAAGTCTCACCACATCCTGGTTTGACTGGTAGAGAGTGCCTGTGGGCATTAAGTCCGCCCTTTGCTACCTCGTTTTACTTAACGTTTGGAAAAAAAGATTAAATAAATAAATAAAGACAGGACAGAGAAGAAAATACATGTTTTCTGTTGTCTACCAGTGAATTTAACACTTTTATAATTTTGTAATTAATGTTTATTTAACATGTTAAACGCCATCAAGATTTCAATGCCGCAATCACATCAAGATTTCAAAGCAGTCAAACGCCACGTTGAACTTAATGAATTGTTTTGTCTGAACCAAAACTAGTCTGTGCCGATTCCGAGACGGGCTTGCCGCGCACTCTCTCGCTTCATTTGGCAAAGTTCTGGTCAAGCAGTTTTAGAGACGGATTTGAGACGTAAATGTCGATAGAATGCCTTTATATCATATAATATTTTCATCATTATTACCGTTGCATGAGTGAAACATTCAATGAAATACATTTGGGCGTATTCAGCACTTTTCATCATAACAGTTTTGAAGCTCTATAATTATTACAGAATAAAAAATTTAACTAGAAAAAAGTTAGAACTAACTTATTTTAGTTGGTTAATAATTTATTAGTACAGTTTACAGTTTACATTAGTATTAATAATTTATTGACACAGTGTAGTAAGAAATGTAATGACAATAAAATATTTGTACAAACGCTCTGCTTATTTCTTAAGAAATCTCTTCCAGCAGACCTGTAACAGGAAATTGGTTACAAATGGCAGTTAATGGTGTAAAAATCATTATAATATATGTACATTTTACAATAATATAAATATTATATCAATATATGAATAAAAACATATATTATTACATAAGAGGTAAACATATGATACACTTAAGAAATATATACTATATAAATAAATAAATCGATACCTGTATAACCTGTGCGTAGAAACAATAACAGGCATTTTGTAGAATTCGCTCTTTTGTATTTTGGTCGATAGATGGGGCTATCCCTCTATTAATATCGCGCTATTGTTGACTCACCATATTTTTTTGAACTTGAGTTTTATGGAACATGTTTCTCGGTACATCTTGCATGTTAATTGTAATCTGCGTGTGTTTGTGTTCTTACATAAATATTTGAGAGTACTGATGTCGATATCTTTAACTACGCAACAATCGTGTTTAAAAGCTAAATTTGTGTGACCTGCAGCTATAATCAATTTATTTATTATTGACATAAAGAAAATAAAATAATTAAATATTACAAAAAAGTCCAACATTGTTGGCGAATATCATAACACTAATAAATTGTGTCAGAAAAAGTACAGCAAACAGAAAATATTTTATACTCTTTAATTCTACTTAAAACTGAAAGTAACTGCGGATTATTATTAGTCTTTAGATATACATTTAGTATGGAGTATACCTGAGTGTCGAAAGATAGAATTTATATCCAATATGTGTTACAAATACATAATATGTAATAAAACATCCTTTATCTGAATAAACAAAAATTATTCTCATAAAATTTAATGAATCAACCATAATCAGTATACATCATTACTCTAGAAATATTGCATTACTCTTGAATTAGGTATAAATCAAAATATTTTTTTAGTTATATAAAAAAATCTGTTGACAGAATGTTCACTGCGGGAACAACACTAGCGACTCCCGCGTAAACCATAAGTGGCTTAGTTACAGTACAAGTGCCGTCAAACATTGAATCGATGCGGGCTCTAAGAACAAAAGAGGGATTACCGAGAAACTCCGCGCGCCCGAAAAAGAATTAGTGCGAAATAAAATGGCGCCGCCTTTGTTTTTTTTCCCCGAGCCTCGTTAGCCGAACATGCTGGTCAGCAATGAGGTTCTATTTTTATTTCGACCCGTATGTAACAATTCCTTTATCGCTCTTTCACGGTCTAAAAAAAAACAAGAAGGCGCCAACTTGCGGGCAAAGGCGACTGAAGTAATACGTATGTACGTCTGAAGCTCGTTTACTAGTTGTAGTTAAAGAAATTACTTTATTTTTTATCTAATGAAATTTTTTATTGCTAGACAATTTCATAGATACTAAATTGATATGTTTAGAAGTAAATCGACATAATCATTTCAGACGCTAAAATTTATTGAGTCTGAATCAGTTCCAAAATTAAAAAAGTCTTTATCTGGAAACAATAAAATTTTTTAAAACTTCAAAATTTGCTTTTATTGGTACCCTTAAAAATACTGTGTAGTTTTTCTTTTATTTGGAGAGACGTTGTAGTGGACTGTATTTAATTTTGAATGTTCTTCCAATAAAAGAGTTCTTCCTTTTAGACGTTTATTATTCTTCATTACAATTGAGCCGTATCGTACAAATTTTTATTTACACATATATATACACTGACAGTGGTATGACAATTAACTAGTGTTTAAAAGCTAATCTTCGGGCGTCGACCAATCACGGCCTCGATCCGCCGTCGCCGTGGCGCCACCCAGGGCGGTTCGACAAGCGGTGATTTCGCTGCGACTGGTTGCTCCGCCGTTGACTGGTAGGACGCGCGACGAACTATTGCTTGACGCGATGTGGCTGTTCAACCGGTGTGTTAGGCGACACTTTGTTATTTTCTTCTGTAAATTACTTAGGCGATCCGTTAGCCGTTTGAGTCGCTAACAGCTCTCCCCCCGGCGCAGCTTGCGTAGCCTCTTCAATCTTCAAAGCGACGAGCCGGCTAACGGGGCGCTTAAAGATGCCCGTCTTGGTGCGTACATCGGCGACTCGTACTCCTCCGTCGGGTCCCGGGTAGGTGCGTGTAATTACCCCCAGAGGCCATACGTTTCTTGGCAATGTATTATCTGCGATTATGACGATATCGTTGACTTGAAGCTGTCGTTTCCCTTGTTCAGACGCTCCGCGTGGTGCGAGTGTTGGTAGATATTCTCGCACCCATCTTCGCCAAAAATGATCGGCGAGTGCTTGACATGCGCGTCAGGCCCGTCGATCCGCTGCATCGCACGTCCCGGTGATGGGTAGTCCCGTCGATGAGCCCAATAGGAAGTGGTTCGGAGTTAATGCCTCCGGGTCCGCTGGGTTAACGCTGACGTGAGTCAGTGGTCGTGCGTTAACGGAGAACTCCACCTCGGTCAGCAACGTTCGTAGCACTTCTTCCGTAGGTGTCTTTTCGGTGAGGGCGGCGTTTAAAGCTGTCTTGACTGATCTAATTAACCGCTCCCACGCTCCGCCTTGGTGAGGTGCGCCCGGAGGGATGAATCTCCACTCGAGGCGATGTCGTAGTCCCTCTTCGTGCAGGCTCGACGTCCATTCTTCGTAAGCGGCTCGTAGTTCGTGGTCCGCCCCTTTGAAGTTCTTAGCGTTGTCTGAATACATTATGCGCGGCCATCCTCTTCGCGCAGCCATCCGTCGTAACGCCATAATTGCAGAGTCCGTAGATAGCGATGAGACGATTTCTAAGTGTATGGCGCGCGATGTGAGGCATGTAAATAGCGCGCCCCATCTTTTCTCTCGGCGTCGACCCACCTTAACTATCATCGGCCCGAAATAATCGACTCCGCAGTTAGTGAACGGTCGAAAGAATGGGTCCAGGCGGGCTCGTGGTAGGTCTCCTGTGACGGGCTGCTGCGGCTTCGTTCGGCGTATGCGGCAGAGTGCGCAGTTCCGTTCCACTGTGCGCACTGTAGGTCGCAGGTGTACAATCCAATATCGCTGACGTAAGTCGTTGGTTACGCGTTCCCTGCTTGCGTGGCCGAAGAACGATTAATCTCGTGAGCGCGTGCCGACCGTCCAAGATGACGGGCTGTTTTGCGCTTGCTGGTATGGACGCCGCTCCTATGCGCCCTCTTAATCTCAGTAATCCGTCTTCTATGATGGGGTCGAGTCGATAGATTTTGCTCGACTTAGAGATTGGTCGTGAAGCGTTGATTCGTCGTATGTCGTCCCCGAAGCTCTGCTGTTGCGCGTGTTGAATAAGCAGTCGCTCCGCTCGTTCAATGTGCTCACATTCCATACGCGTGGCGGTTCTTCGTATGCGAATATCGACGAAAGCTAACACTCGCGCTGTTGTTCTCACGAGTGTTTCGTATTTGGAGAAGCGTGTGGGATCGGGTAGCCACGTACTTGACTGATCGTTTTCGCTGATATGCATGACGTCTGCTTCTTCGTACGTGGATACTTTCTCGGTGGGCCACTGAGATGTTGGTGACCGCAGGAAAGCTGGACCCTGGAACCATCGGTCTTCTGCATTTATCGATCTGCTGGAAAGTCGTGTGGCGTCGTCGGCTACGTTCAGGTCGGTCGGTAGCCATCGCCACTCTTCCTTTTGAGTGAGTTCCGATATTTCGCCCAGTCGATGGGCGACGAATGGTGTATATCGTCGCGTCTCGTTGCGTACCCAATGTACCACCGTTGACGAGTCCGTCCAGAAGACAGTTCTGTCGATGTCGATGCGATGTTCCCGTCGTATGGTGTCCGCCAACCTCGCCCCGATGACGGCTGCTTGGAGTTCAAGTCGTGGAATTGTCTGTGTCTTCTTCTTCGGCGCCACCTTCGCTTTCGCCGCCACGAGTGCTACGTCGACGTCTTCTTCCGGCCCGATGATGCGCCAATACGCCGCAGCGGCGTAGGCTTGCTCGCTGGCGTCGCAGAACACGTGTAGCTCGTAGCGTTTGCGCCCGTTCGGTGAATAGCAGCGGGGTATTCG